CTTCCCATGCCAGGATAAAATGGGTAGTACTAATCCTAAATGGTGCAGGGCTTTGACATTCATAAATCTCATCACTTAAGATACCTGTCTCTTTAGTGCATTTAAAATAGCTCAAGGGCTTTTTATAAGAAGTAGGAAATGAACTCAGAGCAACGAAATACAATGGCTTTTCGTCAGTCACTGTAATTATGTAGCAGTTTGATTAAAAATAGTTATAAAGGCTTGGACATAATAGACTGGAATAAAATTGCTGGCAGACCTCAACTTTGTGATAAGGCTGCAGTAGTATAATGCTGTTAAGTGCCCATCTTAATAATTATTAACTTGAAAAGTTTCACTTAAAATTACTTTTTCATTGATAAGTACATTTTCAGCTGGTGAGAGCAACTGATATTATTCCAGTATGCATAATGTAACGATATCTGTAACTGCTAACATGCCTTATATGTCCTGTCATCTTTTTCCTTTTTGTCATCATATTCATAAGTGTTATTTAAAAAAACAGCTGCCATAGCCAAATACTTTAGCTGATGAAGAACGTAAGATACTATAGTATTAGCTGTGCAAAAGATACTTGGTAGGAGCCATGGCAGATGTTTAGCACTCAGAAGATAACTCAGAATCTGCTCATTCAGTAAATGCCTTCATTCTTCCTTGGCACGACTACGTGAGCTGATTGCTAGAGCACAGACATGTTTACATTTAAGGCTCTTACACACATATTTGCTTTAAATATATAGTTTTAACTCTGAGGTGGGTGGTGCTAGTTTATGGGATCAGCAGAGAAGCAAGAATTTAACTCTCAACTTGCACTTGCTATAACATGTTGCAGTTAGGTAGATCTTGTGCTCTAAGCTATATTTCTGCTGTTTTCTGCTGCTTCTAAAGTTACTGACCAGTGAAACCTCCCTCGCAAAATTATAGTTCTCTCGTTTTCTGCACTTGCTCTTTGTATTTATGATAGGAAATGCCCCGGGTGCTGCAGATAACGAAGTCAACTAAACTGCAGATCTCCCTTTGCTTTCTAAGGCAGTGAGCAAATCCAAAGTGCTACAGGGCACACACATTATAAGGAGCCGAGAAGGAACAGTAAAACAAAAGCTCGTAACGCCGTCATCTGAACCTGGCTCAAATTCTTTAGAAATAATGCTCTCCTCCCTCCCTCCAGCAGACTTCAGCCAGCAGCCTGTTGGGAGAGCCCGAGGAGGAGTTGTGTGGCTCTACAGCAGGGAGGCAACTCTCTCGGAGGAGCGGTGGGAGGTGAAAACAGCAGGGTTACTTACACTCCGTAGGCATTGTGATAATCGTTTCGGTGGTGGCATGATAGTCATCGTCTTCCAAAGAGCCATCGCTACTGTCATCTCTCTGGACGTCATACTGATCAATCAGTTCCTGGAGTGGAGGAGCCTTGGGTAAAAGTTGCTTAATAACATCCCTGCTAATGTTAGGAGCTTGTTCCAGGCGCAGTTTGCTGAGGATTTGAATTTTTATGGCTTCTATTCTGGAAGATTTTGTATTCTGTCTCCACGTACAAGCATTACACAGTCCGTCTTTTTCAGCATTCTCTGTGGGCTGACTACTGTCATCAAGAGCCACCGGATCAACTGAAATCAGCATGAGCAGGTAAATATAAGCATAGAGCACTAGCTTTTGCATGGTCTCACATTCAGTGCTGCACTTTTCCCTTCTTTTTTCCCCCCCCCCCCTCCCCCTTTCCCTTCCAGTACTAAACAGATCCGTGAAAGCAAATGCAATCTGAGAGACAGTTTACCACACTGGTGTACCTTATATATTCCAAGGGGGCTTTTTATACTCCAACTTTGATTAGGCTCGTGTCGTCAAACCCGACGATTGGTTGCTGTCCCAACAATGAATCTGGCTGTCAGAGGGTAAAACCCTGTCTATCACAAGTCACTAGACAGCGTTTAGTTACAGCCAAGGGTGAGCTGATTTATCTGGGTACGTCGTAGAGGATATGTTCTCTGCATTCTCAAAGGATATATCTCCAAGTATTTTGGGCAGCGGTACTGAAAGACAGCACTGTCATTCTTAAATATTATACCAACCATGTACTTGTGCTATGAATTAAAACAGAACTTGCTCCAAAGTTGCTTTAGGTTTCTACTGCTCTTTTTGACTTGAAAGCTTGTTCTGTGTAAAAGAAAATCCCAAGTGGTTGCTGTTAGCAGGCAGGAAAGTAATGTTTTTGAAATGCATTGCAAAGAATACTAATTTATGTTGTTCAACAGCTAACACATATCCAGCAGTTTCTATTTCAGAAAACCTTAGTGGGTTTTCCTAGGTACTAGTTAAAGCAGTATTGGAGATTTTGTGCATATATGACACTATGTAAATTCCTATCTGTTTGTCCCTTTAGCATATATCAAAATCCACAGAAAAAATCCTCCACTGAATTCACCGTCAGTTATGAAAAATGAGTCTGTCTCATCTTCATACTGTCACCAGAGTCCTGGGCAGTAAATTAGGTATCAAGATATCTTTAGTAGCAAAGGTATTTTTGAGGAATAACTTTAGCTACTCATTCTAATATTATACAGAAATAGTCCATCTCACTTTTTTCATTATTAGTGACAGCACCAAAAGACATAACACATTTAAATCTCTACTGTGTATTTATCTTCTTTTTTCAGGTAAGCTTTTCTTTCTCTTCAAAATGTTTCTGTATTGTGCCAACTTAAGTGATACCTTTCTGTGCTTTCTTTTGCTTTCTACTCAAATACTTAGAAATTCTCTAAGTCCTGCTTATATGTTAAAAAATACGGTTTTAATATGCTTTCTGCATAACAGAGATACCTCCAGATGTGATTTTATACATGTAGGTTCTGGCTTACAAAATCTTAGAACAATGCAGTTCACATTTGATGTGCTGTTAGCAAGAATTATGGAATTCACACTTAGGGGGGAGGTGGGGGGGGTTACTGGTCAGCATAGGCTGTATGTCACAGGAAACAAACCCTGGAAGTGGTATGTATTATATGTATTTGTATATTTGGAATCTGTGTATTAGAGCAAAGGGAAATCCTGGGATTTTGTGCAATATGCCACAGTTTGCTTCTCTAAGCTAGGACTGAATTGTCAGTTTCTCACTGAACTTCTCTTCTTTTCCCATTCTGAGTACAACTAAAAATTTGTGAAACGGTGTTTTGCTTTTGTTCATATAGGAAAAATGTTGGTACAGGGAAAGGTGCGGGACAGAACTCTCAAAGACTTTTTTTCTGCCTGGTCATTCATATTCTTTTTGTATCATCTCTCCAGGGCATGTAAATTCATGATATAGCACAAAACTGAGCCTAATATTCAGCTCATGAGCAGTGACATAAATCACAAGTATTCAATTGAAATTGATTGCCCTGCCCTGGTGTAGATTTGATGCAAATAATAGATGTATCACAATCACACATTCCAGGCATATGGTTTTGGGGTCATATTCATCATCCTGATATTCTGATTTTAGCCAAAATCTACCTTCAAAGCCAGCAGTGTGCTGCCCTAGCTCTTGAGGATTTGCTTTTTACACAGGATACCAATGCAGCTACTCTCAACACGAGGTAACATAAATGGGCTTTTGGTTCACTGGAATTAGAAGAGAGACACTGCCTGCCATGCCTGTAACATATTTTAAACAGACTCTTAGTGTGTGTCAAGTGCTAGAAATGTATTTTTATGGGAGAAGCACAGGATGATTCACAGTAAGAATCTTTTTGAAAAGCACTGACCTATTGGGGAATTTGGGGGGGATTTAAGTTGGTGTTTATTTACTATCATGACAGTGAATGTCATAATAAAAGTATTTTTATTTTTTTTAATTTAAACTAGAATGACTTCACCATGTGGCTATAAAAGGCAATCTACCATCAAGCAGAAACCCTGATAGGTACCAGGTTTCACACCAGACACAGTTTAAAGCAATGAGCCATCAATAAACAGGGACAAGAGACGTGCTCAGCAAAGCGATGTCTCCAGCACAGAGACTCCTCTTGGCACATGCTCGACAGCCACGCTGGTGCCTCACCTGCTCCTTCTCCTCCAGGATCTTCCCACTCTGACTGGCTCACCATGAGGATGCAGAGCTTCACTCTTCTTTTCCCTGTAATGATTCCATTAATATTCTGCATTGATTCCTTTAATCTGCAACAAGGACCCCTTTGCTCCCTGCAGCATTTGCCCATGACTGTGGAACCAAAGCCCTCTCCTGTAAGTCGGGAACCCCCATGAGCTCCGAGCAAGAGCTGAGCTTGCTCTCAGCCACCAAGCAGCTGTGTTACTTTTCCCCTTCAAAATGTCTCTGTAAAGAGCGATTTTTTTTTTTTTCCCCCCATTTCCCTCATAAAATTCACTTCATATCCATGTACCCTGAATAACTCTAGGCCATTAGTAGAATACCTTTCTCTTCATCTTTTGTGGTTGCTGGCTTTTTCTATGAAATTTCAAGTGTGTGGAAAAGAGCACTAACAGTTGCACTTGATCAGGAGCGATTGAAGGATCAAATTTTTTGGATCATAAAAATACAATATGTAATTTGATTTTGTATCTGACTTTCATTGTAGTGTTTCTGCAAAGTGATGACTGCAGAAGTAGATGACAGAGGTGAGAAAAACAAGTGGTAAAGCGACCAGGTAAAAGTTGTTCCAAAATTTATTTGGCAAAAAAATAATAAAAACAACAACAGAAAACTCCAACACCTTAGCTCCAGCAAAACTAAAGAAGAGTTAAAAATGAAATGCACATTTTACTGAACTTTATGGCATTTTAATGTTATCTTTGAGATTTGTGTCATTCTACCCATTGTACCTGCCAATAGTGAATAGTATTCCCAATTCTGACTGTGCGAAGATCATGGCTCAGGCCCCCAAGATCAAGCAATGCAAGAATGTTGCTTTCTAAAGGAAAACGGCACATGTCTGTCTACCTGGTAACTTCTCCTCTCTTTTCTCCTCCCTCCACTCTCTACCAGGAGCTTTTATGCTCCCAGGAAAATCAAAAAAAAAAGAAGAAAAAAAAAAAAGAAAAAAAAACCAAACCCACCCCCTAAGATTTGACTGATACAGAGGTTTCAAAAGACACTGTTACTGTGAGTTTTATGGAAAAACAGTGACTGTGCAGAGCAAAAGGAGATTACTAATGACCTCCCTCAGGAGAAGGTAAACAGAGCCCAACCATTACCCATCCTTTTTGGCAACCTCTCATCAGCCAATCAACTTGTGCTCCTCTGGCATCACTCAGCACACTGAGCACTCTGGACCATTCACAGCCTGTCATCCTGTGCCGGGCCAGCGACCCAGAGAACACAGAGAGGGAGCAGGCTGGGAGTTGAGCTTGTTTTGGGGGTGGACCAAGAGGATATGGAAGGGAACCAGGACATTTCTGAGAAAAGGGAGAGTTGCAGGAGTATGAGGGAGCTGCTCTCCTGACGGGGAGGGAGGAAAGGGACATGGGTTATAAGCTTGCCAGAAATCAGACAGCTTCATCCTGCTCTAGGCTAGATTTTCAAACACTTTCTTATAGTCTGCAGGAACAGAAATTCACTTTTCTTTATTCTGTTGTTTAAGTTAAAGAGTTTTCATAATTTATTCATCTCTGAAGGTCGAACTTTAGGAAAAAAGGTGCTCTGAAATGCACTGTAAGTCTGTGATTGCTGTTCTCCTTTGATGTCAAGTCCTACCTCTGAACCAGTTGGCTTCTCTCCCTGGTTTGCTTATAAGGAAGAAAGAACATTCCTCCTGAGCTGCTGAGGAAGATACTGTTTGAGTCACCTTTTCTCTCACTTTTGTCAGCACAAAGACTAATTTCTAGAATAGCATGTTAAAATGGATAGAAAACTCCTTTTTAATTCTTTTTGGATTCATCTCTCTCTTAACTTCTGTAAGCTGTAAATAATGTTTCTGAAGTTATTTTGATTGGAACAGTTAAATTTGAATAAAACCCAGCAGATATATAATTAAATATAATTGAGTTAAGGTGTTTTAGGTGCATAATTATGATCCCAGCCTTGTTAACTCACCAGATACCACCTGAATCACAAGATAAATGCTTTACTTTGAACCTCAAAGCAGATACAAGGTCATGCATGTAAAACACCTAGAAAGAACTCTTAAAATGACAGAAAGCCAATGAAAACATCAGCCCAATCACATTATATAAATGCAGCTACTGTAAGGCAAAAGTAAGAACTTCTAAAGTTAAACTTATTACCATCAGGTAAAATATGAAACCTATAACTAGTGTGAATTCTTGCTCTGTAACAAATGCCCTGAGTTTTTCCTCTGCTATGCCCTTTTTTTTTTTTTTTTTGTTATTTCTAAAAATGTAGTCAAATACAACCTTCTAAACATTGTGCTGAATCAGCTACTGGAAGTCAGCTTCATCCATGTTAATGGTATGAGTAATTAATTCCTTAAACTTACCAAAAAATAAATACGTTCGTCTTGGTTTTCCCTGTTCTGAGTTTTAGGTATCTTATTTCACACAGGAGAAGAGCACACATGGTGCAGGGTATGGATGCCTTTGCATCTGGGTGGGGTGTGCTGCAGCTTCTTCTCAACTCCTGCTGTCAGGTTGTTTTCCCAGAAAAACCCTGATGTTCAGCAATTTGGGATTTTAAGTAGTCTCCCCCAAGGCATACTTGAATCTGCCTCTGCAGTTTGAGTACCAAGACAAGGTGTCACTCTGTCTGGCAGATGATTTCCTCCACTCGGGAGCTTTGGGAGACACCAGAGAGTTCTGCCTGCTAAGAGGAGTCTCACAAGCCATGGTATGTAAGAGTGTAATGGATAAAATGAAGGAAGCAGGGAAAACTGGTGGCTGAAGGCTGCCATGGCCATTTCAGCCTGTGAGGCATCTCCCAGCTTGCCCAAGAGATGCTGCTGAATGTGAGCTTTGGGGAGGTCATATGGGGTTGCCTTCAGCTTCTGGCCATCTCCTTCCCTCCAGCAGCTTCTGTGTGCATAACTGTACTTGTGGAATGGGCCAAAAATGCCCTGTTGCTTCTTCCTCTTTTGCATGTTCCGATACGTGTAGCTCCAGAACCAACCAGATACACCAGTGCAATTGAACTCTGTAAACAGATAGGAAAACCTATTAGGCTCATTAAAAACATTTAAGGAAGGATGCAGTTATAGTGAAAGCCTCCAGTTTTTTTGAGTTTTTTTGTATTCAGGATTTTGTTCTGCAGCCTTTGCTGTGGTGTCTCTATATCTTACAAAAGAGCCCTGTTAAATACCTACTTAATTCTAAGGGTTCTGCCCTTGTTAAAGGATGCTATTTTTTCTTTACAGTTTTAGCTTTTATGCTTTTACCAAAAATTCCTGACATTCATCCTGACTTTTATCTTCAATGTCTTTTAAAATAGCTGTGTCAGCTCCATCTCTGATGGGAAAACTTGAATTGCTCTAAGGAGTCGTTACCGTCCTTGAGGAGGTTTCACTCGTGCATTTGCAGAAAGTGCTTGAAATACCAAAATACTTCATCTCCAGCTATGAAAATGCTTGTATTTTCACCAAGGCACAGCTCTTCGAAGGGAATTTTCATCCCAGGAGGTCAGTGATTTTATATGAGTGCCCTGTCCTCTGCTGGGGTGTTCTGGAATGGCATCTGCTGGGAAGGGAGTGCCACTGCTCTTTTTCTTTCTTTTTACTCTTCCTGCTTCTTTTTCCTTCCTTTTTTTTTTTTTTTTTTTTTTTTTCCCTCCAACACATAACAGGTTAAAAGCTAGCAGATGTTCTTGAAAGAACAGGGAAACACAGCTTTGCAAACTGCAGTGAATTTGACTCATTTAATATTCCCCAGTGCCATGGACTGAATTAATCAACTTTTTTGATCAGGAGATATCTATATGTGGGATAAATTTGGCTCCTGCTGTCAAACTATTCCTTTGATGCCTTTCCTATGGCCTGTGTGCTTCCTTTGCTTTGGTCCCACACTGTGGTTTTTCCTCTCCTGAATACCCAGGCTGAATGGGAACAGCCTGTAACTCCTGGTACCTGATTGTCTATAAGGATAAGCAGAATCACAGCAGTACAGTGGTATACAGAGGTAAGAATAACCTTTTTTTCCCTCTTCCACCCACACAGGTGACCATCAGGTCCATCACCTCCCCTCTGGTAGGGCTGTTATTACCTGGTGTAGGAAGTTATCCTTCCTCCATGCACTCCAGGAGTCTCCTGGATTGCCTGCTGCTGTCCCAGCTGATGTCAAGGCAGAAGCCTCTCAGCAGGACAAGAGCCTGTGAGTGCAATGCCTCCTGTAGCTGGAGCAACAGGCTTTGTCAATGGGCTCCCCTTCATCGGGCCCATAGCAGGCACCAACCACAAGGTCCCTTGGCTTGGTCTCTCATTCTTACCTTTAAGCTTTCAACCAGCTCATGGCCATTCTTTAGAGACAGCTCTTCACACTCTACCCATCTTCTCATGTAGAGGGCAACCCCTTGGCCTCTCCTTTCTTCCCTATCTCCCCCCTGCAGCTGTCAATAACTGTACCCCAGTCATGTCATTCCTCCCACCAAGTTTAGTCATGTCAACCGGGTCACAGCAGCTTCCAGCTCCTCTGGTGCAGAGGCACCTCACCTGGGCTATCTGAAGAATTTCACTGGTGTTTCCCTCTTGGCTCCAGTTCCTCAGGAGCCCCTGGCTCATCTCTGTAAGATTTCAGGTGTGCTCTGGCATAGCCAGTGTGTCTTGGAGCCACCGACTGGGGGCCCTCACTTGCATCCTGTCCCTCTAACCTTTGTGGGTTGTCCCACAGCTTGTCACAGGCAATCCTGATATTATGCCCTCTCCCTTCAACTCTAGTTTAAAGCTCTGTCAATCAGCCCTGCTGGGGCTCATCAATAAGGACCATTTTCCTCCTTCGAGAAAGGTGAATTCCATCTGATGCCAACAATAAGATGAAATTATGGGGCAGCTTCTCCTTTCCTTTCTGCCCTCTGCTGATCTACGGTCAGCTTTGGACAGGTTAATTTAAAGCAAGTGACTCTATGATTGAGTGAGAAGTGGTGGCAAAGAAATCAAAGAACAACATTCAGATCTGCAGTCACACGAGAAAACCTTTGAATCTGGCATATCCATCAGCAGAATTGTTTCATTTACAGCTGAGAGCTAGGCTACCTGCTTTAATCCTGGTGTTAAAAATACTGGTAATGTAAATTTTCATTAACCCCATAGAGAAAAAAATTAATCAGCTAATTTCTTATGATGAAACGTAAGGTATCAAACCTTTCTAAGTCATTTAATGTCATAAATGTGTAATGACAAAAAGTAGGCACAAAAGGAGGAAGCTGCTTCTGAGGAAACTGCTTCTTTTAAAGTAAGACCCCAAAAATCAGGTGGTATCTGTGAAATAACCCTGTAAAATAATGCAGAGGCAGGAAATCGTGTTATCTGCTTTAGGGTTTTAGAAGAAAAAAGCACAGATCTGAGACTGAGTAAAACTTCTTTATGTATTTGATTCTCATTTGGAGGAAAAGAACATAAATGCTAAGTTTTGTAATAAAATAGGTACTTTTGGAGGGTTTTCACATAATTAGTGCAACTGTTTAAAGGTGTTGAGGCATCCAAGGGAAGAAGAAACCCAGATTTTACTCCATTTCCTTTATTTATATCTTTCCTTATGTGTTGTTTGCTCCCTGTTGATGTAGTAAAGATGTTTCCTGTTTATGAGTTCCATTATGAAGCATCACATAAGAGCATCAGCTGAAGAAAAGCTGCCTATACTGACTAAAAGATTAGCTTTAGTGCCCTTTCCTCTTGGGAATTGTCTCTGGCTCCTATAGCAGACTCTTACAGTTCCTTAGAGATTAAAGGCTGATACTTTAAAAATTTACAAGTTTGCTTGGGACTTGCAAGTTTTCTTCTCCCATCAGTCTGCTAATTCCCAGCATGAGCCAACTGGTTGATGAGAAACAAGGATAAATCATAAAGGAATTGACTATTTGGTGTTTTTTTTTTTTCCTTCAGTAACAGACTTTCAAACCCCCTCTCTCATTCTGCAGAGATAGAAAGCTATTTAGGAATTAACTCTTCATTGGGTTGTAGCAAAGAGCCTGACTGTCACTGCTGTATCCATGGGTATATGCCCTACACTCATGGAAACGATGTCAAGATTTCCTACTCTCTACTGACAGTGCAAATAAGTGAAAGGATGCTTAAAAAACAGAATTCACACAAAAAATCTGAAATATTACAGGAGATGTCGCTTCAGAGTTTAGTTTTAAGATGTCCTAGCACAGAACCAGCTGGAATAGGTATAATCTTATTATTGAAGGCTGGGGAATGGCTTTTAATGAGTAGATCTGGAAGAGTTAATAGAAAAAAAGTATCCCATGGGTACCCAGATTAATAGAAACAGAATTATTTGCTTACTACTGATTTTGTGATAACTACACAGCTTTTTTTATGTCAAGTGAACTTTGTACCAGGATATTTTCAGTACACAAATCTGAGGTACTTCAAGGAGTAGTTCACAACTGCTTCTGAAATTTTAAGAAATAAAGAAAAAAGTCGTGCTGCATACAAAAACTGAACTTACAACCAATTAAAAATATAATAATGTGACCAAACTTTGTAGTTCATATCGATTAAAAGAGATGGATAATACTATGAAGAATGCAGTGCAAAATGGAAATAAAATTGACTACTTCAAATTACCTTGTTATACTTCCTACAATTTACCAAAGTAGCTCAACATTAAGAAATTGAAGCATTTTGTCATTTTGTCCAAAGCCTCTAGAACAAAGGAAAAGTAATTGTTAACTATTGAATTGTGCAGTTGGCTGCTTTGCTAATTCTAAACTTTAATTGATGGATCTAATGATTTCTAGTAATAACTCTGATAAAGCAGTGTGGTAAATTTTAATTTCCCAATAATGGGCAGGAGGGATGTACACATACATATATATGTGTGTGTGTGTTTTAGTTAGATATTCAACCAAAATAGAGGTTTTCTGCTCAAAAGCTTGCTCATTGTTACTTACAACTGGTAACACAGCAAAGGGGAAATATCCATCACAGTTCGCATCCAGATACTCTGTTCACAAATTTCCATGGCAGCCGCAGCAGCCGTTATAAAATATTGTGGGTTTGGTTTGATTTTTTTCTGAAAAACCTCTTTTGACATTCTACAAATGATCAGAGTGGGTGTTTTAGTAGAGAACCACAATAAAACACAAGTCTGGCTAAGAATTAGTAATCAACAAGAGAGCTAGTGGGGCTCGGGGCGGTTCTGGGGAGTGACTGAGGAGTCACATGGCTCCAGAGCAGGCTTGGCATCCATAGGACAAAACCCATCATGAGCCAGGAGTTCAGGTGGCTTTCATTACGATTCAAACAAGCATGGTGAGCTTTCTCTGCTTTTTTTAAAGATGTCGTGCAAATATCTTTTCAATATCTCACTGCTGGCCCTCAGGGCTGAATTCTTGGATCTAGTTTAGCCATTTAGTGTCTTAAGCAATAACATTCAGTTTATTTATATTTCTGTGCTTACTAATAGGTGGTGCCATACTATTTATGGGCGTCTTTTTCATCAGATTCACATGGTTTTACCCAGAGGTGTGAAGAGGAACATACTCCCCTGCAGGGAGTGCAAACTGCTCCTTGAGCTGCTGTTCCCTCTTTTAACTGTCCATTCTTGCCTCTGTTTTTCACCAGTGTCTTTTGTTTTCCAGTGGAACTGTCTTTAAGCTGTGTGTTCTATCAAATAGGTGCTTTTCTGTTTCATTAGTAATCAACCCATTTTTGTTGAGGCTGTGGAATCAGAGAACTAGGTCCTTTAAGTCTGCTCTAAAATTCCCTTTCTTTACCAAAATCATGGGTACTAGGAAATTGCATAATCCATAAGAAATCTCAGCAAGCCTGCAAAACAATCTGCCACCTCAGCTCTCCACCTTGAGCTCTACTAAGGACTAACTTCAGTGTCAAAGCATGAGATCAAAAATTTTAACCACTATGGAATGTCTTTCCTTTGCATTTCATTATATGGTCTATTATACTTTTTTTATTTTTATGAGTAATCAGCGATTTCTCATTTGCTTCTTCTGTTCCATGCATAACTTTAGATAATTTATCATATTCTTTCTCTGCTTTTTCAGTTCTTCAGCCCTGTACCATTTTTGTTTCCCTTCTCTAGGGTTGCTTTGTGAGGAGTTCCTTTCTCTGAAGATGGAATAAACAACAATACTCTGCAAATGTCTACAACATTTCAGGCAAGGCAACATATTGATTTTACACCTGTTGAGAAACTATAGTTGTAATATATTTACTCATGTTCAGAAGTTACAAAAACACCTGCACGTTGAAGAGAAGCTTTTGGTTCAGCTATTCACAGTGGCATTCTCTTTAAACAGTAACAGTTTTTTTAAAGAATAAGAAACATAAAACCCTGTAAGCTTTTCAGGTAATTCAGTTGTTCCTCCTGGCTGACTGTGTGTTCAGTACTCCCAGCTGAACAGTTTGCTCTACACATCTGTCTGACTGGAAGGCAGAATAAAAGCATTTTTCCCAAAGCATTTCCAGTCTAGCTATGGCCAAACCTCAGGAGAACTGTGGCTCTTAAAATCAACACTAAATTATTTCACTTTGGGGGGTTCTGGCTGCTTCTGTGACATGGCAGTTTTTTGCATCTCAAAAGACATTTGCACAGGTTAAATTTGCCTGAGCAATGCATTATTAAGCTGTTTTTAAATCGTGTCATAGTTTTAAATACTGCATTTGAGTTTACTGGGCTGATAATTAGAACACTAAAACCTTTCATCAGTGACATCCCTCAAGTGTAATTTAACAGCAGATAAGATCCCCAAAGTTTCTCAATGGTGAGATTGTGGCACAGAAACTTTGATTTTCTATATGAGGTCTTAAATCTACCTTCCTTACAGGTTGAAAGAAAAGTCTGCCATTATCTTTACTGTTCCCCAGAGGTGTAGCATACACCCAGTGCATACACCACCACCTGAGATATTGCCTGCTGCATGCTCAGCTTTCAGGAACTAAACTAGAATAAATTTACTTTCCATCTCCTATGTGCATGAACGTAGGAGCAGCATAAATATATTTAAAGCTAAAGAGGGGAAAAAAAAAAAAGTGTTTCGCAACTTAAATAAATAGAATTTTTTCACTTGGCTTGCACTCAGTGACAACTTTCAGAAGTGGCTGAGAACCTCCCAAAATGTCCTTTCCTGGCTGTAGCACTGAGTCTGTGGGATCTTGATTTTGGGGTGAGGGTGGGGTATGGATACTATTGCAGTGTGATGGCATGATCATCAATGTGCCTGTGTAAACATTTCTAACACCATCAAATCCACTGGGGAGGGGTGGGGGTGGAGCACAAAATCTTGCTTCTAGTTTTCTGCTAGGGAGGACTGAGAAGCTGTATGGATATCCAAAGAGATGCAAATGTTTTTTCACTAAATTCTTTATTCATACCTATAATACTGACAGAGCCAAGCACAGAGATTTTATAGCATAAAGTGGCTTTCTTCTTTCAAGGGATGAAATAACAGTACTAAATTTGAAGTATAGTGAAGGTTCAGAAAAGTCACAGTGCTGGTTGTAGAGATCAAATCTTTTGGGCAATTCTGAGCTTTAACAAGCACATACACAAAGCCATGAGCAAATACCATTTAAACCTGGCAAAATATCACTAAAGACATAATATTCCAAAGGCAGTGTTATGGAAATCCTTTGAAGCTGAATTAAAAGATCAAATGGACTTACAAAGGCTGTGTGGCTCAGGCCCCAAGAGAAGTCAACTCTTCACTGTAAGTTCCAGTGGCCTTTGCCCTTTTGCATTAAGCAGGAGCTTCTTCCAAAAATAATTTCCTGGATGCAAATGACCTGTTATAGCACTTATTACTTGGGGTATAATGTTCAAACCCTTAAATTAGTTGACGAACACGTATGAAACTTGCAACTTCTAATAATAGTGAGGCAAGTCTCCCATATGTTGTTATAAATTTCTCTCCAAGATGATTAACGTGGCTCGCAGGCTACTCTTGTAAGATGATAGAAGAGATATTTTTGCTGCCTCTCCTGAGAAGGGGGCTAGTGTTTCAAATTATTTCCAAACAAACTTCTTGCAAGGGAGAGATGGTTCTCATTTTTTTGTCACCTTAATAAAAAGGTGATGAACGCTCTCTTCTTAACTGTGCCCTTATATGAACATCAAACAAATATCATGACAGTATGATAAGATAACCTTGTGTGCTATCTATGAAATAATATGTTATATCCACAAATGCAAGTCCTTAATTTATTGTCATGTTTGAAATAGAGAGCTTGTTTTGTGAGCTTGCAGGGAATCTCAGAAGTAAATTCAACAGATACATCTTCATTCAAAGTTATTTTTACTTACAGTAGGTCTCTATATAGTATACTTTAAATCAATTCTGTCCAAAGACTTTAAAAAACAACCTTATTAACTTCTTTATTAATTAAAATCAAACCAGTAGTAAATTGGGCAGCAGGTTGTTCACAGCCATAAACAAGAGGTAGTGCCCTAGGGTCTTTCTTTTGGCATAGAAAAATGTGACTGATGAAGCTCAAAGGGTAAGTTCAGGCGCTGAAGAAAGGTTATTTGGTTTCAGAATCTTAAAACTTGGGTCATGGGTCTAGTGAAATAATTGATAATTCTGTCATGCAAATGCAAATTCATCTCTTCTTTATATGAAATCGTGCTCTGTGAAATGACTAGGACAAACTGAAGGGGAAGTTTTCTGGTTCTGTTCTCTAAGTTGCTTGGGTGATCTTGGACAAATCAATGTTTCCCACCTGACACCAATAGCAGTGAGAGGAATTATTGTACAACAGAGACCTTATTCCTTCTCCCAATCCCAGCAGCTCTGCCTGCCTGGTTGTTGGCCATGCCTGCACCCACAAAGCCACACTCTGCTAAGGCACCAGAGCCAACTCCAAGGGAGGTGACACATCCCTGCAACGCAGAGCCATATGGCACAGAATAATTACATGTGCCCAGTGCAACCCCTGCTTGTGCAGAGCCAGCTCCCTTTGCTCTGCATCGCCTTTTATTGCACACACACATTGAGCCTACACGTTTTCCAAACTTCCACACCCATTCCTCCTCATTGTCCCTCAGTTCCCCACGGTTAAAAAGTAAATCTAGTTGTCCACTTGGGGTACAGTTGTGAGAACAGAATGTATGGGGTTCTGAGAGACTCCCCTGTACACATGCAGGCAGATGGGTAAGGAGGTGGCAAGCGATACAGGTGGCAGGCATTAAGCAGTTATTTATTTACTGGTAGTATGCAATGCTGTTCATAGATGAGATAGACAAAAACACTGAATATTCTTGTTTGGCTGAAACGATTCATCTTGATTCATCCTCTCTGATTCAGAAGAGCTGAGGCTTGAAATGCCTGTCTGTCTGTGGGTACTGTTGACGCTGGCTGAAAAGAATTTGTCAGACTCAGTGTGTTTTTGAGCTCTTGGCTGTACCACTGAACTCCTTTAGTTCAATAAATGCAGGCTTGTTTTGAAGCTAAGTGACACAAGTTTTACTGTGAAAACTGCATCCCGTTGTTGGCCTCTCATCACAGAGCCTGTATTTGAGTAAATCTTTCCAGCTAGTCAGAGGTCATGCCACATACGAGTAGGATCTTTGTCATAGTTCCGATTTTTAGCAAGGAATTTTTCTTTCCTTTCCCCCTGCCGTGTGTGTGTGTGTGTGTGTGTGTGTGTGTGCTCTGTATATGGGCCATTAGTTGAACAAAAGAATTGGCCCCAGTCCACTAATGGCCAAGATTAGTTTCCTTGACAACACAGGGGGGGGAATTGGCTGGTGTGTGACTGGAAGGGGGTGGAGGCTGGGGGGAGAGCGCAGTCTCTCTACCTGGAGAGGAGCCTGCTGTGGGCTGCAGACACTGCCGGGTTCCTTTGTCTCTTTCCTGTCGGAGGGGAGTTCTGGCTGCTGCTCTTGGCTCAGCTGTGGCTGGCTGCAGGCCCTGCTTACAACGGACCCTAGTCAGCTGAAGTTTGTGAGTTTTCTTCCACTGGGAGAACTTTCTGTTTTATTGCTGTTGTTTTTTTCCTTCCCCTTCTTTCCCCCCCCCCCACCTGGCGGCAGCCAAGGATCTCACAGCGCCGCCTGGTGACAGGCACTGGACATTACAAATTCTGCTCCTTCAGTGATCCAACAGCGCCACCTGGTGACTACAATAGGACACTACAAGTTTTTGCACCTTCAGTGACCCAACAGCGCCACCTGGTGAATGGTACAGGACATTACAAATTTTGCATCTCCAGTGACCCAACGGCGCCCCCTGCTGACTGTGGTTGGAACTGCATGAAAGGGTGCAAGAAATTGAACTATTTTCCTTTTGCCGGTTTATCGGTTTTGTTCTTTAAGGGGATTATTGGTGGATATAGGAGTATTACTTAGTTATTTTACTTGGTTTTTTTTCGTGTTCCTGTTAATACACACATACCTTTTAATAAAGGGCTGTTATTTTCCCTTTTCCATAATTTGTTTTCCTTCAATCGAAACCTCTTAATTTTGGATTTATAATTGCTTGGAAAGAGAAGTTTGGGTCTTTTCCTCCTAATCCATCCTCAGCAAAAGACCCTTGTCTCATTTAAATTGAGACAATCTTGAACTCCAAACTGTGCAAGATGAACAGTATTTGATTCAGACATTGAAAAGCAGACTTCTGACTTGAGGGCAAGGGGAGGAAAGGACAACCAGAAAGAGAGTGACAAGTTATTCACATTAGTAGGAGTGAAGTTCCAGTATTAAGCTCTAGGGTTGTTGGCAGATCACCTGGGATAGGATGACCTTCCTGGATATTTTTTTTTTTTTTTTTTTTTTTGTGTTCCAGTTGTCTCTCAGATGTTATACTACCTTTCTTCTGTTAACTACTTTATCAAAACATAACCACGTAACATCATGCTGAAACTCCCTTCAAGGCACCTTTCAGGTTTATTAGCTATTGGATCACAATTCTGTACTCTAATAACCTACTCTGTGTGTGTGTATACATATATATGTCTGTGTGTATCTGTCCTTGTCAAAGCTTGGGGCTGTATTCCAAACTGAAAAGATACAGGATGTCTGATGCTACATGGTGGATGTGCTGGTCCAGAGTGGTTTAATTCTTACATACTAGTTTATGACTTTTTTCTCATGTGCATTTCTGCCTGAAACAAAGACAGCATCAGTTAATACCGACCAAGATGTGCTCTTCTGTAAGCCAGAGTTTACTGGAAGATGGATGGAGATTGGAGCTACTACCATCAAACTTCCAGTGATGAATTTTGTAGCTTTGGGTTATTTTGGCAGGCTTCTATAAAAATGTTTTTGCCTTAGATCCCATTTTTCTTGCAGTCTAAATCTCGTTTGTCTTTGCC